TGTTCATAGAAACAGGCTCAGGTTTTAAGGCTGAAGCTAGCAGCCTTTCCTTCATTATTCTGTGCTTATGCTTTAAAGTGGATGCTAATTCAGCATCTGCGGGGGCTGTTATACTCTCCTTATTCATCACTGGACCATACTGTGTACAACTCAGTAACTGAATGCATGAAATAGTCTGCTACATAGCTCAATAAGCCTGCGGTCGCTTGTTTGACACACCAGTATCTGCAGCCTGTTGTTTCTAATTGTTCCACATTTCTTCCGTCTTCCCAGTGCCGGCTGGTATCATAGTGATACTGTAACTTTGCCGACTCCAATTTTCGGGATCTTTTTTTTTTTTTACTATATTTTGACTGAATTAGGGCTGCAAATCATCAATTTGGGTTTTAGGTTGAGTAACTGTGTGATATTTCTGAAATCGCTTAAAAACATTAATGATATTAATTGTATTCATACTTTTTTTAAAACTCTACTTAAATATAGAAAATCTGCAGTTATATATCGCAAAGAAAAGCAGGCTGGAGTCAGGAAACATTTAAAGTACACATCAGTGAATCTGTTCATTGTTCCAGCTCTTGACTGAACTGATAGTGTCTTCTCAGCTTTGTAGAAAACTGATGTCTTTCTGGAAGAAGTGTAAACTCAGATATGCTACTTGGAATTTCTTGAACCTTGAATTGCCTATCGTTTAAATGTCCCGACTTTTCACTTCATTCTGGTGTTAGTTGTGCACGTTGGGCAGCCTCCTCATGTCCGTGCCTTGTCCTGAGCAGTTGTCAGGCTCACAGACATGTACAGATATTTGTTAGACAACACTACATGAAGCTTCCTGAAACAGCATTACCCAGATTAATATAATCCTGCATCCACCAAAAGGACTTGTTGATGTGTTTCAGTGATATAAACCATGATACTATGCCTTTATGTTTTCTAACTCTGTGTACAGTTTTGTTGTATTTTATGCATTCCATTTGTCTTCATTATATTTTAGTTCAGTCTTTTTCTGATTCTTTCATTGAATGCTGTTGGTGTGAATTAGTTTTTTGTTTTGTTTTTTAGCTAATTTTTATCTTTCTCATAATTCAAGAGCAACTTCTCATTGAGGTGTCAAAGGTGCAATACGTTGTTTTTGTTTGTTTGTTTAAAGTGACCACAGCCATCACTGTCTCATGTTTACCACTGGTTCATCTTTTATAACTTATATAAGTTTTAAAATATTTTTTATAATTGTGACTTGACTTGCTGTAAGTTGGATCTCCCCTAGAGGGGGGCGGCGGGTTCTGAACACAATGAATATGTTGCATATTGCAGCATCAGGCTTGGAAGTGATAGATCTTACTGAATGCATTCGTCTTTTAGCCAGTTTAATCATGCTTTTTTTGCTTTTCTTTTTTTCCATAAGAAATGCTGATGCCAGTCACACCAAACAACCCTCGTCTAATGTGATAGTAAAAATGACACCACAAACATCCAACTTGTATTTTTATATTCTTTTGTAGCCTTGGTTTATGTGACACTGAATGATAAAATGATCTGTTTTTATCATAAAGTGCCATGAAAAAAATAAACACAAAAGACTGAAGTGAGTGTGTGAAAGGTGTGTTTCTTCTCAAGTGCCTGCAGCTTTTCGGGTGCACACGGTTCCCACTGTTACTTTGTCTTAGAGAGAAGACAATGTAACAACTCCTGCAGGTTTTACACACAGCCCTCCAGTTGTGACCACATACTGTCACTGCAGCTCACCATTCATTAAACCTGCCCTGCGTTAAGCTAAAGCCAGTGGAGCAGTTTAAATACATTTATTTAAGTGCTGTTACTTGTGTTCTAATCATTTCTTCTGCTTTAAAATAATAAAAATACTTGGCAGCTGTGTTTAGATCTTTTTGAGGCTAAATGCAGAACTAAAAGTACCAGACGGTAATTCTTGTCTGATTATGCATGAATGCAGACTAGCATGTGCATACTCTTCCAGCACTTTGCAGTTAAGTTCAAATCTATAGCAAATAATTTAATCAGTCAGTCCCACACTGTAACCACTGGTGGGGTAGTAAAGGAGCATCACTAATCAGCGTGCTGATGAACAAGTTAAGCCTCTCTTCTACTCCTGCCGTCCACCTCCGCAGCTCCATCAGTGCTTTCTATGCTGTGTGGCATTTTGACATATAGAAACCTATTCAGTGATGGGGCTCTCTCTGACAAACAAGACATTATCCTGTTGTATAATACTTGCAAACCGACCACCCTCCTCATGTCGCACACACAATAGTGAACTCTTAGAGACCGCTGAGCCTTAGCTTTGTTCCCTGCAGCACAGTGGCATATTTATCTTACTGTGGAACTGAGAAAATCTGGAACGTTGTTGTCTAATCATGTTTGCTTGCAAATATTTAAAAAATTTCAGTTACAGAATCCTAAAGAACCAACAAACAAATAAACATGATACCACTGTGAGGAATTTTCCAGATCTTCAGTCTTTAGGGCTCGTCTGTAGAGGTGTGGATGAGGGGAGGGGGAGGGTGGTGCTCCAGGCGTCAGTTTGTTAATGGATCATTTTCCTGTAGGCTTTTGTATGCAGAGCTACAGAAGAAAGCTCCCGGCTTCCTTTGAGTGTGTCCTCAGGAGAAAAGGGGTTGGGTGAGGAGGGGGATGCAGAGAAAGCTGCTCACCTCATGTCACAATGCAACATTTAATCAGTGTTATTGAAGGGCTTCTACTGTAATTACATCTAACACATGGCTAGAAATGTTTTGTTTATAAAGGTTAATTTGGGTGCTACTTATTTAATACAATGGATATTTTTGTCTTGGTACAGCAGGGGAGTGCTAGATATAGTTTAAAATATCCAGTGCTTACTTTAGTGGGTTCATTGTCTGATTAATACAGTAAGGATCCATTGGACAGTTTTATATAATGTCATGTAAATTTGTAATAACTGTGTATATAAGTTGACTTGACAGTAAACAGCATGGTCGATCATGTATCATGTATTTCCCCCTGTATCATTATTTTATTTCATTTTATTTTATCCAACCTCACTTAAAAACACTGATTCAGAAGCACAGGTGTTCTGTCAAATACACCTCCCACCCCCTCTCCACATAAGTACACATGACAAGAAAAAACCCCACATGTTTGATGTCATGCTCAATAAAAAAGCCCAGCTACATGATAGGAACCTTATGATATGACATCATATGCGGGATTTTAACCACACACTAGCTTAAAACTTGACAGATTATAGATGGTGATTACAGAGGTTCTGATTTTTCTCTTTCATGATGAAATGTACCACTGATATAGAAGTGCATTAGAAGTATATATGCATAAATACGTCTTGTACATTTGCCACTGTCCAAGTGAGCACAGCCCAGTCTTATAAGACTGATAAGTTTTTTTCAACTATATTTACTTTCCTTTGTGTGTTTTTTTTTTATTTTCTTTTGCATTATTAAGGCAAATAATTCCCATAGTGTTTCGAAACAGACTGAAATTTTTTTTCTTTTACTCTACGCCGAGAAATTGATTTAAAAGCCAAACTCTTGTTTTTATGAAGAAATAGGGCACCTCCTAGTGGTGAGATTAGAGAAACGCACCTGTAGCCTGGAGTGTCGAGCACAAAAGTCATATTAAAACCAACAGCCACAAAACCAACAGCCACAAAACCACATGCTGAGGGTGAATCGGACGGACTAGACGTGCAATAACCGAACAATCGGGATTTTTCTCACTACTAAACTGTGCTGTTTCAGTCTTTCCTCTCCCTAGAGGTTTTAGAATTGGACTCGGTCCTTTATCTATGACTAAAAAAACATTTATTTTGGAAAACATAATGTACAAGGTCTATAATTTCAAGGCAGAACTGGAAGAGGAGATGTAGCATCAGTTACCTCTCATCATCCCACTAAAACCTAATGGGATGGGGAGAAGCACAGATGTAAATACTTAATGTCCCACGTCAATGGTTAATTAATAGTTTTGATGAATCAAAACACCACAAACTACAAAAAAGATTAAAGATCCACCTGAAGCAATCTTTACTAGCAGGTTTATTTTGCACAGATGTGTATGGGGTTGTATTTATGAAATCTGTCCCTCCTCGGGTTTTCATGTATCAAATGTGCACAGAAATATATTTTCCCATTTGTTAAACTGGCATTGAATTTGCTTTGAATTTGTTTTTCTGCTTAACTAACTTTATTACAGTTTCGAGAACAAGATAAAAGGATAAAATAAAGTAAAGAAAGTAAAAGAGAAGTTGACTTTGAGTTCAAGAATCATTTCGACACAAAAAAGAAGTGATGAAAATGACAGGAAACTTTGCACTTTAAAAACTGATGCTGCAGAAGTTCTTCCGCGGTTTATCTTGTTCATCAGCGCATCAGCTCTGTGGTATCACCGTCAAGTTTCAGGGAAAATATGAAGATAATAAAAGACACAGGAAGTTATTAAAATTATTGTACCGCTTGTTTATGCCTTTAAGGTGTACTGTGGCTTTCCTGACGATTCATATCATAAGCTAAACGAAGTGCTTTATGTGTTAATGCATAAAAAAAGATAACGTGTTTTGAAAGGAAGGGAAACTGAAAAAGCATCAGATGCACAGACTGTGGTGTAATATGAGCAAAAGACTCATTTTCCTCTCTCTGTCAGCAGATGTGGTTTTACTTCTGTTCTTTGAGACCAGCTGTGGAAGATTGCACTGCGTAAGCGAGTTTCATTCACTGGTAAAGAAAGATGAGAATGGTGATCTTTCACAGGACGCTCTGTAATTACAGAACAAGGTCTCGCAAGTTTGAACAGAGTAAGAGACCAAATAACAACACCTTAAGGTCGCTGTGTGCTTGCAGCGTTAGAATCAAAGGGTAAAGTGTGACTTTAATAGTCGTAATAATAAAGGCCTTTATGTCAGTGTGAGTTCAGCCCGTGCTGTTCTTCACATCACAAGAAGACAGAGGACAGAGCAGTCAAAAAGACTGACTAAAAACTGATCAAGTATTCTGTTAGTTATTCAAATCATAGTTTAATAATCATGAAAAACAATCATTCAGTCTAAACCATGTAAGAGATCACCCTCTGCTTATGATTTCACATGAATGAGACATACAAGTAAAAAAAAAGGCTGTAAAACAACACATAAAGAAAGTGGATGGAAAATATGTTGACTTTCAAAATCAGAGCACAGTGGCAGATCATTAGCACTTTGAAGGTAAAACGGGAGATGTTCATTGGATCAAAAATGAACACTGTTTAAAAATACAGTACATAATGTTGTTTGGCCACTTCTGCTGTGTTGGGCCCAAGTTTCAGACCCGTGAGGCCCAGCGACGCTCTTCCTCGGCCCATTTAACAGGCACTGTCATGCTTCACCTTCTGCAGCCTCTTTTCCATCCAAGCGTGTTGAGTCTCGCGGTGTTAGATCCTCTTGTTGATTCTTTTGAAGGTTACACCCTTCTCTCCTGGAGTTACGCAAGTCTGCATACGCAAAAAAGGAAAAAAAAGAGGATTAAAGATAATCTGGTATTAAAAGAGCAAATGGATTTATCTAAGGGATTATTAATCTCATTCAAAAAGTGCAGTGAATAAGTGGCTTCTTCTCCTACCATTACTAGCTTGTCATCAACGATCTCTGCTGTGAAGAGGTACTGAGGGAACTGACATGAAATCTTGTTGCCTTCCATAGTTACAGGTGCCTTAAGAAAAATATCGTGGAGCTTTGGTTACATGAAGGTTTCATTAAAAGTTGTGAACACTGTCAGCTGCAAATCCTAAGTTTCCTCTGTGCATTTTAGTTCCTCACCTTGAATTTGGATCCTGTCATCGTCGTCAGCTCACATTCTTGACCAACAATAAATGTATTGGACCAGGTCCAGTTCGGGATGGTTTGTGTCCAGGTGAAGTTATTCCCGTCTTGCACCACTTCAGTCACCGCCTTGTGGTCTGTCTTGGCATTTTGAAGACCTGTGAACAAGCGGGTTATATCCCAGAGCAAGAAGTCCAACAAAGTGTAAACAAATGATGCCTGACATTAGTTCATTTGTGGCTTAAAAAAAAAGAAGTATCCTCATACCAACTACTTCCAGAAAATCCTCATAATTCTCTTGACTCTCAAGCTCATATTTCCCACTGAACCCCATGATGCCAAAAGAGCAGAAATAAAAAAAGGGAAGAAGTTCTTGAGTCAAGAAAGGAGTGGCCTGCTCCTGATGAACCACCTTTCTGTTCTGCTGCAAAGTATGTCCACGCTCCTGCCTGTATCAGGTTTTTCCAGCCCTTCGCTGATGTAAAAAAAGGACATCTGCATGTTTGAACATGTGGTGTAGTAAAATAGAAGATAAACACAGTATGTCCTAATGCCAGCATCATGTCAAAGGAGGTCGTTCAGGTGAGGTTAAGCAGTTTACACCAGAAAAGAACTTCCTTCAAATGAAAGTAGAAGCTACTGTTTTGTGGATTTATTGAGAAATAATGGAAAAAAACTGTGTGTCATTCCCCCTTGCTCTCTTCCTGCTTTCCTGTCTGATTTCTATTGCTGTGCTTTGAAAAAAAGCTGTTTGGTGGCTAAAAACCAGCAAAAAAGTGAAATCCAATTCCACAGAACAAGTAGCCTAATATATATATTTTTATATCACCGTTAAGTATAAAAGGAAGATGCCAGAATATTCACACCTGAGACTGAATATGTGACATTTTTCTGAAAAAGATTTATTAAAATGAATAAAAAGAAATATGCAAGACGTTTGCACATTTCTGTTGGTGCTTGCAGTCAGGAAGGTATTTAATCTTGAAAGGAGGTGAAAATAAGGTGAAAACAAGGCTGCTGAATAAGATGTTAAAGCCCTCTCACCTGAATGTGTTAAATCTTGGACCTTTGCGAGAGCAATGGCTTCATTTCAGCTGGTAATAAAGAGTGAAACGCAGTGCTAATTTATCTCCTCCTCTGCTACCTGCAACTCTTTGTAAGCTCCACTCACCTTCCACTCTGAAGCAGAATAAACAGCTGGTCTCTCTCGAAGTGCTGAATGTACTGTGTTGTACTAAGTGGTAAAATCCATGTAAATTATTAGCATTTTTTTAAATTACAAAGTAAAATCACTTTGTTATCTTGTTATTTTTAAACAGCTTCTTATGTGGATTGTACAGATTCTTTAAATATAATGTGTTTTATGATGTGTTGGTGATCTATAGACATGCTGGTGGGTGGATATTGTTGATATTATTGAGGCACGCTAATTGCTCAATTTTTTATTTTATCCATCCAGCCAGCCAGCCAGCCAGCCAGCTTCTTCTCTTATCCAGTTCAGGCCTGCAGAGCGAGGAGCCGGAGCCTATCCCAGTTTTTGGGAAAGGTGCAGGGTATGCCAGGATGCTGTGACGTGACAATACAAACCACCACTTTACCCTTATTACAAATCAAACAGTGTAACTGTGTGTCTTTGTACCTGTAATGAATCACAGACAAAGCCTGCTTTGAATCATTGGTGGAAAGGACCAACGACTGTCAAGGAAAGTTCCAGGAAGTGTGACTTTATGAAATACATAAAGGACAAAATAAAAAGGTGGATTTTGCATCTTTTAGTAGATAAAAATTTAACTGCTGGATCATTTTTGCTGCTAATGTAATAGAGTATGAGAAGCAGATAAATTAACATAATAAATCTTTAAATATGTGTAATGATTACTTGTATGTGTTGAATTTTTTGACAAAAGTGCAGACAATCCCCTGAGTTCTGTGTTAGTTTTTGTTCTTGAGGTTTTTTTTTTTGCACTTTTCTGATCTTCTTCATGTTTCTGTCTCCAGTATTGGATCCTCTCTTTTATATCTTCTAAAAAATCTGATTTATCACACTCTTAATTGGTAGTTGGTGATTAACACTTTAATAACAACTGATCATGAGCTGTGTTTACGTTAACTATCTATATAATGAGGAAAACCTTTTTTTTTTAAATCTAATAAACACCATCTGCTTCTGCTTCTATCATCAGACTGATGTTAACACCTCGGATAATACCTGAGAGAGCTCTTTGTTTGCCAGAGCAAAGTGAGAAATGAAGAGTTGGCCTTGAAGCAAAATTCAAGCAACGTTCTACTTTTATTTATTCATCACATTTCTACAAACATACAAAGAAGATGATATGGGATGATTGTGTGCACAGCAGATAAAACAGGTTATACTTTATTTCCACAATATACCATAAAGATACCAAGTGACTGCAACAGAACAGTGATCGTTTGTCTTTCCACGCTTTTTACACGACTCGGGTTCTTCGACACGTTCGCTCTTGTACAGAGCAGATGTGGAGTTGTAACTGAAAGGGAGTGAGAGGCTGTGCTGGATGGAGGTCCTTTCAGTCTTTTCTCCTAGAGTCTGAATAAACAAAAAAACCATGCATGCACAGATTTGTGTCCAGTCCCAAGAGGGCAGCAAACACTGTGTCAGAGCTGTTACTGTCTACTGAAAGAAACTCTACTTTCAATCTCAGTTACAGCAACATGGAACAACATACCTGTGATACAGCAGCATAGTCAGTACTCTTCACCTTACATTGACAGCTTATGACAATGATAATCCACTGACTGATGAATGATCATGGGATCATGTACAGTGAAGCCTGTGAAACCCTACCTCCCTGCTCTGTTTGTTACCGTGATCCCTATAAGGAATGAACCAGTAAGTCTCATCTTAGTACGACGAATGAGTCACACTTTGTCAACAGGCACAATAAGGTCTTTGTTGACCCCTCCCTTATCTTTATTCTTCACAAAGGAGAAAGAGAAAACTCCTCCTGTAGTTTCCTCAGCGGTTCTCCCCCCTCTCAGAGCTGTCGGCTGGCAATCGATGGGGCTGCCGGGCAGCAGGTTGGGGGTGGAGGGAGTCGGGGTGGTAGCTCCCCAGATGTATAATGCTTCCCCCTCAGGGCAAGGCGGCAGACCCATACTCAGGTAACTCGGGCTCGGGCTGGCTGAGGACGGCAGAGTACGCTGGCTTCCGTTCAGACAGCCGGAGTTGTGGTCCGTTGAGTTTTTGCGTGAGTTTCCAGAGGAGCTGAAGGTGGAGGAACGGTAATTATACTCTCTCCAGCCGGGACGCTTGCGCTGGTGACACTGGCATTTCAGGATCCGGATGAAAGCCAGCTTGAATTCGCGGTTGTAGCAGGGGTAGATGATGGGGTTCAGGCAGCTGTTGAAGTAACCAAGCCAGAAGATTACTTTGAAGAGGGATTCAGGTGGCCGCAGGTGCACATTAAAGGACCCTGGGACAGCAGGGGGTAAAAAGAGAAGCTGCTCTTAGTCATGAATAGTAAGCATGGCTGATGTAGTCGCCTACACATTCTACACATTCACCAATACAACAAGTGAAAGATCCTTTTTTTGATCCAGGGAGGAGACACAAACTGGGATCTGACAGAATCTGCCAAATCAAACATTTGGAGCTATTGTGAATAAGAGAGCAGCGGCTCTGTGCAGAAATCCTAATTTCTTCTGTTCTTTGGCTAGTTCACATAAAACTAACACTAATCCTTCTATTTTCTTTCTCTTATCTAGTCAGTAATGTAATGCGGTGTGGTGGAGGGGTTGGAGTCCAGAGGCCCCATTATAGCTAGCTAGCTTCTTGGCTAACACATAGACAACCATTCACATTCACACCTAAGGCCAATTTAGAATGGCCAGTTTAAATAACCTAACGATAACTCAGGTGATACCGTGTGATTAGGAGCTAAAATGGGTGCCTACCACTTTAAGGATGTTAAATCAATCACAGCAGCGGTTTAGTGACTTGAGGGGCGTGGCCTAAGTAGACGGCAGTGTCATGGTTTTCTGACCTGTACACAAGTAAGTTCTTATTTTTGATTATATCTAAATGGAATTCATTATTACCTCTTTAGTTTGTAAAAGATAAATAAACCGTCAAGTGAAATCGATTTTTCTATATAAGAACATGTGTCAGCCATAAACTCTTTTATTACCCTACACATATTCTAACGTCTCAGTTTTCACTATTTTCCCTGAGCTTTTTAACTTGTTTGTATGCAAGGCCGTCAATTAAATCTCAGAAAACCAGCCTGCACAGTACAAATGAAGCCAATTAGCTGAGTTCCTAAATTTTAGACTCCAATTAAGTAACGCTTATCCTAATAATAAAATAATGTTAAAAATAATGTTGTTAACTAGACTTCGATTGTTACTGTAAAAACAAACTATCAAAAATCTCTGATATAATTCAGATTTGAAAACTTGGGTCTTTAAATGACTGATTTATTTTCAGAGATATGCGTGTTCACCTTGTGACACCCTTCTGCAACTCCTTCGTAGTGGCAGTGCAAGAGTCTCTGGGTGTTGCCAAGGCTTAATTGCCAATTGTCTACACTTCCAGAGGTGTGGGTAAAGGCATGGCTGAGGATAGGTTGGGGGAGATGACACTTCTTCTCTTCAATGGCTCTCTGGGATTTTTTTTTTTTAAGTTGACGTCCCATCCATCCTCTTCCATTTATCCTTCTCAGGGTTCTGTTGAGGTTATTGAATGATTTATAATAAAAACAATGCTTCTGCAAACTCTGGTGTCAATCTCCACTTTATGAACAAGTCTCTATTGTAGATGAGACATTAGGTCTCAATGGGACTACCTATATAAAAAAGGTTAAATAAAAATAATAAATAAAAACGTTGTGGCTTTTGAGCCGGATCGAAACAGCTTTTTTAATTTAAAGATTGATCTGATGGCTAGAGTAATTCAACAGTTAACATACTAAAAGTGTTGTTTACTCAAAGACCTTACTCATTTTAGGTAGTATCATGTGTTCTCACTGTTTCACCAGCAGAGATTCAGGGTTCATGACAAGCTAAGCTATTCGCCTTCTGACTCAACCTCCACACTCGAAACACAGTCGTGAAAGTTGACCTTTTCACCTGAAGCATCCGAAGTTGAGATTCCAACGACCTTGTACATGTCGGAAAAAATGTGTATTAAGTTGTGCTAAAGAAATGTTTTCACCAAATGACTCATGAATAAGCATGCAGTCCTGAGCTACATTTATACTGAGCGATGATATGCTCATTTTTGCTAAATTTGAGGATTGAATCTCTCCTGTGAAAGTCAGCAGAGGTTATTTATATATTCTGTAAGGGAATATGAAAGTGTACTATGGCACCTCAGAGTCATCTGGAGGCTGAATAAATGTAACTGACAGAAAGTGATCAACATGGATCAATTACAGCCATTTAATTAGGTCGTTTTAAGATCATTTTATACTCATTACACATTACTGAGACTTCCTGGTTTAGTTATCCTTTATTGATGTTGCATCATATCCAACAGGTGGCAGCACTGATTAAGATAAACAGGGTTTTTTTTTACTCTTAGACCGTTTGCAGTCTTCAGATGAGGATGTGAAGACAGTTAGTTCCATATGTTATTCATCATTACAGAAAACCTTGTATTTAGGAAGGCCTTCACAAGCAGATAATGTGTTTCCTTAAAAAGAAAAAACCCAAAACAAAGTAAAACAATACACTTGATCAAGAAAGCAGAAAAGGTGAGCTGACCCTGAATTCCCTTTTAGATAAATGCGCTGTGGGAGAGACGAGCTGGTCTGAAAAGGGGGGGAAAAAGTTGAAGTGAAATGACAGTTTGTCCTGTCAGAGGTTATGGAGGTTACACTAGCAACACAAGTGTCTCCTTTCTGCACGGTGCCTAGTGGCCTTGTCTGTGTTTACACAGGTAACATGGCTGAAGCTGTGCAGACGTGATCGTTGGTCAGACTCGACACGAAAAATGAAATGATATCATTCTGAAAGAGTATGAGGCAAGTTTGCCATGTATGATAATGAGCAAATCTGGGCTGGGTTAAATTGCATTAATCTACCCCCTGTTGTGCTTTTTGTCCTACTGTGGCTGAGCTTAAATACAGGAAGGATATCTTACAAGCTAATGAGGTGAGAGGGGAAGCCTGAAGACTAAAATAGGGGATTAATAAGCACAGCACAGCGTGATTAGTGTGAAACAGACACATTGTGCGTTTGCGCGCGTGTTTGTGTGTAGGCTGATGTGAGTAAAACAACGTTTCTTTACACCAGCCTACATTCCTAAATTGATATCACATTCCTGGATAGGCTGAGGATGCACCACGATCTCAGGCTTTCAAGTGTGAAATTACCTCTGACAACCAGAGACACCTCAGCTTACTTCTTCATGAAAATCAGATCAACAGCTTTAACGATTACTCTAAGCTGTACAAGGTGCATTATACACAACACAGCCAAAGGGTGAACTGACGCAGGTACCCGGGTCAAAAGCACACTTTGATTTTGATGTCGCAATAACAGGAGAGCATGGAACCAGACGTGTTCTTTCCAAAACACACGCACGCACACGTACACGCTGCTGTGGACAATTTGTAATGTTGATGAAAGTGATTATTTGACAATATGAGGAAATGTCGCTTTCAGCTTTCATCCTAATGAGTGGCTCCAAGTACTAGAAGCTGTCTCTCTCTCTGTGTGTGTGTGTGGTAGCTAGACTGTGAGATGAGACTGCTGTCTGAATGAGTCTTGGCCCCATAAACTCCAGATGAATCGGTGTCTTCTTGGTGGCTGGTATTTTCACATGCTATTTTCCCCTCTGCTCGGCCACTTAAATGTGATTACATAACTGTGTGAGCTATGAGCGTGATTGGGATACAGAGGAGGGGATTTGGTGAATTAAAATATGGTCATTCCTTCGTTTCTCTCCATGTCTGTCTCTCTCCATTCATCTCCATTTGTCAGTGTGTTTCTCTGTGTAGTAGCTGGCTGCAAATCAAAAGGATTTGACTGCCTGCATCACATCTCTGCTTATTCTTTTCTCACCCATAACCTTTTGAAACTGATCAACCCTGATTATTAAATATTTTGCGTGCTTACGTTCTGTAACGTCTCGGTTTGGGCGACAGTTGTATAAATCTACACCACGTGCATCTGGATTGGACACCGAGAGCAGCATCCACACAGGCAAAACCGATACGAAGCACCGTCTCCATCCTCGGAAACCCCCTTTAACAACATCCCGATCATCCCACAGAGAGTATAAGTTGGGACCCTGCCATCATGTTCCCGTGTCTCCTTTCAACACAAACGTGGGATAAAAGTGTAGGAAGCGCTGGCTGACAGCAGACCTTCCAGTGTCCAGACATGGTTCATGTTTGTGTGTTTAAGTTCTGTGTGAACGTGGTCCATTTTTGTCCTCTTTCAAGTGTTTATGTTTAAAAGCTATAGTATAAACGGCAGAGGAGGCGATGGGCTCAGCCCTGGGACAATAGTATACAGATAAATGCGGGCGGGTTGCGGCCTCACCCTTTCTGTTAATAGAAATGTTTGCACCTCCTTCCTGAGGACAGGCACACGCATATTTCACTCTGAAACACAGGAACATCTTAACAAAACATGGCATCCTGTTATTCTAACTAATTGAAGTAGTGATGCCTATTCTGTGCCATGTACACACACACACACAATCTCCTCTCACACATCCTGTTTCATAACACAGCAGTAAATATGATTAATATGTCTTGATCTGAGAGGAAAAAAGCATTATTGCCCTCTCGCTTTGCTTTCAATGAAAACCGTAGCGTGAAGCTATTTTTGGAAAATTGAGCTGACATCCCAGAGACCCCTCGTCTTCACCCCGATACCCCGTGGCACCTCCTGCTCTGCTCTGCCACCTCCTTTCTTTTTCATTGCTTTGATACTTAGCTCTCTAATTATTTTTCCTTCTCAAAAAAGCATTTGAGTTAACCCTGGAGCGCACAGGCGGGCCAGCTCAGCGGCCTTAAAAGCCAAAGAAGCTGTCTGAGAATCCCACAGAATTAACTGTTTCTGCTCAAAAAATGAGGAAACAACACCTCAGGTGTTGGATTCTCTCACATTTAGACACGCTGCTTGCACCACTTGTTCGATGCGAGGCCTTCACAGGACATTAGTGCCTATGCTGGCTGTGACAGAGCTGTGGGAAAATATGTGCAATGAAACACTAAAAACTTTTCTTTGGATGAGCGCAGAGATGAGGACAAGTGTGAGGATAACAGTCGATCTGGTTCTAAAATATATTTATTTGTGTGTATATTTATTTAAAGTTAAACATTTTTTCCCCTTTAATAGCAATATGAAGAAACCTTTTCTTCATTTATATCTATGCAGGCCTGAAAAGTCAATTAACTGATTAGTCACTGGAGCAAAAATTAATTAGTAACCTCGCTGATAACTCAGAATTACTTTCAGTTATTTAGCAAGCAATTCAATATGAGCTGCACTCGTTTTACTCATGTGGGCAAATTGACTTTTGTTGTTCAGTAAATCTTGTAGATTTTGTAGATTTTAATTGTTTATGAACAAGATAAACGCATGAAAATGTCTAATTAAGCTGAAAAAACTATGAAATTCATCTCATCACAGACATGAAATAAATAAATATTTGTAAACAATCATAAAATCTGCTTCCGTGCACAGTGGCCTTGGAACACTTTAATTTGCATGTGAACCCATGTTGCTATAGCTTTTGCTGCAGAGTTGCCTTAAGCTATTATCTTGCATGTGTTATATGAGACCTGCTTAAAGGACATATGAGATTTGAAAGGTCAGTGTCAGTGTAAATAAATAGTTATCAACAGTAAAAGTACATCATGGAGTGTACTGGCTGCCCTACTGCACCTCTCACCCTATGACAGCTGGGATAGGCTCCAGCCCCCAGTGCAAACCTGGACTGGATGGATGGATGGATATAATCTAACTTAGATATTTGGATGAAAATGAGTCTTTAGGGAAAAATAAAACACCATGAAACAAAATTAAAAGACTGGAAATCGGCTTCAGTCTGGGTCAGTTTGTCAGATGAGTCAACACAACAAGCATCAGGAGGCACTGGTGCACATGATTAATGGAAGTGGGACGTTTACATGACTGTAAAGTTGCCTTTACAAATTGTTGTGTTTGCACTGTAGTGCCTACTCTGAACTTCTTCAATCTTGTTCCCGAAAAATCAAAATCAGAATCAAATAAACTTTGGAAACTTGCTGAAGCCAACCTGAAGTGAACGCAAGCTTTACATTTTTAAAAGAGAAACAGCCAGACTAATAGGCTGATACATTCTAAGTTTAGGTATGACGCTTTTACCGACAAATATGCAAATGCTGAAAGTTCACAGCAAGTGTGTGTTAGATTTTGGACCGCTTTTCGTCCAAAGTAGCTGGTTTGGAGTACACTAACTTAAAAAAAATTTGACGTCGTGTTTATAATCCTGAGGTTTTTGCTCCAAGTTAAAGGCGTAAAAGGAAAAAGGACACTTTAAAACCTGAAAAGGAATGACTCAAACTGTGGGAACCGTTGCTGCCTGCTTGCCATTTATGTACAATGACAAAAAAATAAACTCCACAGTAATAACAGACGTTGCGTAAGATAGGTGAGACCTGTAGCTAAGGGACAGTTCACATATTTCTTCACAGGTTAAAACTTGATGGATCTGAGGTTGCAGTGGCTCCTTTTGGCCAGCCTCACTTTGATCTCTGAAAGCTTTTAATTGTTTAAAAAGCTGCAGTGATGGATGAGGCAGAAGCATCTGCAGCCACGCTGACACAATCGCTCAAGACACAAACGAGCATAACTTGCAATGCATTCACATAAACACGGATAAATATTTCATCACCCATCCACTGCACACCAGCGCACACACACACACACGCGCGCACACATCACCAACCACATGAGTTACAATACGAATCAGTGGCAGTGTGCAGAGGAAGGAGCAGGATAATAACAAGTGTGAAACAGGAAATCCCACTCTGTGGGTGGAGGCTCAGATCAACACAGGGATAGTGCCGCTGTCCTATCAGACTTAAGACGTGAGTCACACCAGAGAGCAGAGAGCAGGACAAACTTTAACTTCAAAACAACATCTCCCACAAATCTGCATCTGAAAATAGAGGTGCCTCAGGGCCCCGGTTCAGCTCCCTGGGTTGAGCAGGCGACCCAGGCTAACGCAGAGGTTTGAATCTGCCCCGAGGCCTTTTACTGCTTTTTTCCCCCCTGCTTTCCTGCCTTCTCTAGACTGTCCCAACACAATAAAAGCTAAACAAAATAAAGGCTAAAATAAAATATGTTAAAAAGAAAGGGAGCTCGGTGCCCAGCTTTGACATGACTATATAGTAGCACCATTCTCTGCCAGAGTACTCTCTCTGTGGATGCTTTTATGAATCTCTTAAGCCACTTAAAGTGGGCAGTAAATAAAGCTGCATGGTGCTTTGTCGCAATGTATCAGTATTCTACACCAGAGACTGTAAAGAGAAACTTGGGGGCTGGTTTTTGGCAGTGTCTAAAGAGGGTCCTTCTGAAGTCCACCCCTGAATGTAGGCGTAGAAGCCTCTCAGAACTGCAAATTCAGAACTTTGTAAAATCACATTTGGTGTGTACATTCGGTATCTCATCCAGGATGCCTTGGGGCAAAATAATCCCTGCCATGTAGCACTGCATAGTGATCTTGCCTCAGGTACTGCGTGTGTGTGTGTGTGTGTGTGTGAGAGGACGTGATGAGCTGCAGCTTGAAGCCAGGTGCATAAACACACTCCCTTATATCGACGCTAAATGAACACATGCAGACACATGGCTGTACACAAACATATACATATAGCCCACGGTGCCCCCGCGGGGTTAATCCCCACACATTCAGACCATCCGGCCCATTCTTGAATACAGTGCTTGTTTTTCAGTGAGGCCGTTTCCCCCTCCCCTCCCAAATGCCACTGCTAAACAAAGACTTGATGTTTTCTCAGCCTGCAATACATTGCTTCATTTCCACTGCAGTTTTTTAAACATTCATGCCAGAGTGCTGTTGAATGCTCGCCAGTGCCAGTGGCATCATAAGGGAGCCTCAGCAGGCTCCACAGGCTTCTGAAATGACTGACCAGAGCAGAGAGAGGCCACCTACCACTCACAGTGTATTTAGTGCAACAACAAATCAAATCAGACACTGAATTACGCTGAAAATATTTGGATGAGCTCTCAGTGAATTCCACTTCCTTGAAATGTTTGGGCGTTTCCAATGGGGCCCTGATTTCAGAGAAAATGGTGAACTTTTAACTTTGCAACATAAACAGAGGCTTAGGCCAGATCAATGATATAGATTCATTCATTCTGCGTCACATATTGCTACAAGATAAGGGGTTTTACTTCAGCAGTAATGGCTAAACCCGTAGAGCCCACCGAGACGTTTAATGACAGCAGAGCAACCCAGGAGATTCTGTGTGCGGCAGATATGATTTGCAATGCCTGCAGCAGCGTTTAACAGCAACAGTTTAGCTTCCCAGAGACATTTATGTGACTGAGATGTATTTTCTGCAGGCTGTTTTCGACCAATTAAATATCTGTTTTTAAACTGGCTTCCAGGGGGAACAAAGGTTGTCGATGTCTTTTTGCAAATTGCTTCATGTAAAAAAAAAAAAAAGTATAGTCGTGGGGCGTACAAAAGACCCCCACCGAGTGACGTACGGAACCTACCTATGGGTAAGGCGAGAAAGAAGGGCAGCCAGCAAAGGGTAAACATGCCGACCACAACTCCCAAAGTTTTAGCTGCTTTCTTCTCCCGGGAGAATTTCAGCAGTTTTACCGTGAGCGAACTTCTAGCCTGGTTCGCGCGACCCTTCCCCGTGCCAGAACTGCCGGGATCCTCGTGCACCTGAGATCCCTTGTGGATCCTGAGGGTCAACTCGCTGGAGTTCATCCTCTCCCGCATCACACCTGCCTCCAGGTTCTTAGTGGTCCTTTTGGCGACTATGTACACACGGCAGTACATGGCCAGTATAACGACGAGAGGGATGTAGAAGGAGCCGAGGGAGGAGAAGAGCGCGTAAAACGGCTCCTCGGTGATGGGACATATCGTGTCGTCCGGCGACGGTGGCTGCTTCCACCCGAGCAGAGGGCCGATGGAGATGACCACCGACAGCGCCCAGACCCCAAGCATGGCCAGCAGAGCCCGCTTCTCCGTCACGATACCCGGGTACTGCAGCGGGTGGCTCACTCCAATGTAGCGGTCAATAGATATTACGCACAGGCTCATGATGGACGCGGTGCAGCACAGCACATCCACCGCCGCCCAAATGTCACAGAAGATCCTGCCGAACACCCAGTAGTCCAGGATCTCCAGTGTGGCTGACACAGGCAGCACCGTGGTGCCCAGCAGCAGGTCCGCGATAGCCAGGTTGATGATGAAGTAATTGGTCGGGGTCCGCAGGTGCCTGTTGCACACCACAGCGAGGATTACAAGGATGTTGCCCGCAATGGCAAACACGATGAAAGCCCCGAGTACCAAGCCGAGCGGGATGGCTCGGGTGAGGTCCATCTCGCTGCGCACCGTATGGTTACCCCCAGAGCTGTTAGTGAAATTGAACTGGGAAGACGCCCCGTCGAGTTTCGAGGAACCATTTTTCCACAAGTCTGTGACATTGTCAATGCTCAGACTCATTTTGACTCACAAAGTCCTCCATAGCAGGCTCCAGACCACTTGTAGCTTTAAAGAAAGGGCTTTAACACAAACTGCCAAAACGGTCTATGTGCGCATGGCTCACTGCGCTTCTTCGAATTCGCTTCCAAACGTTTTATCAGAGAAAAGCGATCATTGTGCAGCCGCACGTTCCCCATGCAGTCCGTCTCCCCCCACTCTCCTGAGAGGTTAGTGGAGAAGTGAGGGGGGCAGCAGTCATCTCCTGCCTCCTCTCCTCCGCACACAGCGTTGCCATATATTGACCAAACATACCTAAATACGCGCTTATGAAGTGCGCGTGACGCACTGCACGAAGAGCAGTGATTGCGCAGAATACGCACATAGTGTCGTTGCTTCATTTTCTTTCTTTCTTTCTTTCTTTCTTTCTTTCTTTCTTTCTTTCTTTCTTTCTTTCTTTCTTTCTTTCTTTCTTTGCAGGACGCAGTGAGGAATCGCGCTTTTTGGGTGAAGCACTTCATTTGTGTCCGATTTATTTTTCCCCACGGTGGGAGGGTGCTTAACTGGGCATTTACAAGTTCCACAACCACATAACTTTGTGAGAGTAAACCTCGTTGGTGCAGTTTTTTTAAAAGGTACTTCTAGCTTGCTTGGCGGTACGCTGGTAAAAAAGTGTTTTGTTGACAGAGAAAATAATGACATAATTTTAAGCCAAGGTGTCCTGACTGTAAGAGATGCTCAGTTTCAGTGCGGTAAATATTCAGGATGTTCCAGCAGTCAGCTTAGATGGTTAAGCCTTCAACTTCAAACCGATTAAGTTCAAACGTAGATTACACATCACATACAATCCTCTCTCATATGACAGCTATCTCTCGTGAATTATATTCCTATTTTGGTAAAATGCAAGAGTTCCTCAGAGTAATCTCATCTTGGGTATACCGTATAAGTTAGGAAGAAGTGGCAGGCTTAGTGGACTGGCACATGCGCATTCCAGAGACAGGTTCCTCTCTTAGAAGCACTTTATAAAAAGGCCAACCACTATGGGTCTAATTTCCACAAAAGTAAATTTTTTTTTCATGTTTATTGAATTACAAAGAATATATATGTACCTACAAATAATTACCAGTACATAAACTAGAATATAAAAGCAAAAATTAAAGGTTTACAGGAAAGAAGAAAAACAAAACAAAACAACCCAGCAGAACTTTAAAATAATGTCCCACTATTAATAATCAGCAAGGTGTCAAAAAGTGATTAATTTATAATTTATATGGCATTACTCCTCCTTAGTATACCATTTATAAATAAAAATATATGTTCACGATTATAACTACAGCACTGACTGTAGTCATAAATGATAATAAATACAGATCTAAACATATCTGTATTTATAAATGATATATTAAGATGGAGTAAATATAAATGATGAATTACACACTCAGTATTAGCTTTCCAAATCTTAATAGTGTGACATTATAAAGTGCTACCAATAATTCTGCTGTAATTTTAGTAGTTAGTTACTTCCATGTATTTATAACATAAAATCAAACAATATTTCCCCCAATGTATTCTGTAAATACTTATTCACAACATAAAGAAAGGAAATATTGTTTGTTTTTATGTTAAAATGCATCAGATTTACACCCTATTTAAAATTTCTTTCCTGGAAGAAAATAACTGAGGTTACTCATTACTTAAACACTGTCAGATTAATTACTTCTTCTTTCCTGCAAAATCTTGAATATTTACTCCCTTATCCAAGTGTGTGTATTTGTAGGTAACTATAATTACATTTTTAATGTCAGATAAAATGTAATAACATTCCTTTCAGTTTTAGGGAAATCGTACCTTTAATCATGGGCATTATTATAAAGTGCTGCTGAGCTGTTTAACTATTTATGCTACACAGGCAGCTGACCAACACACAAAGGTGTCCTCTGATAAACCTGAAGTTGCATGCGTTACGATTTGGTGCTCTGCAAAGTTGGCTTTTATTCACAGACCAGATTGTTTGAAAGAATTTGTCATGTTTAATATTTTCGGGAAACAACACACACATGACCTGCAGCAACGACCTGAGTGGTCTCCTTTGGACAAACTAATTAATACAGGTTAGACCAAAAGTATGTGACTAATTTAATATAAATTATGTCAAAAGTGCTGAAAATGAATTCTCCATTGTGATGTCATCGTGTCAAACATTTTCATAAAGATAGTCATGAAATATGCAGGACTCATGAAGTAAAATGTGTTTCTTTTTCTTCTTTTCTACTGATATACCAAATAAAACTCGCATAATTTCTGAACTGAGCATTAAGAGGTTCTTCATGACTAATATGTGAAGTGACTGCTTCCACCTCCTGCATATTCACAAGGCTTAATAGCATCCATCTCTTTAGAGTAGAAAAAATGCAAAATAATCCGAGAGTGAAAAGAAAAGTAAAAGCATTTAATGGTTTTGGATACGACGATTTCACGGCCAAAATTGTTTCTCTGAAAAACAACCCAAGTGGAATTTATTTTCCCGCTAAAAGGAGAGAAATAACTTGCTCTCCAGACTGGTTTATCTCGACATTTTAAACAAATAAGGAAGTGAAACACGTAGACCTGCATTCGTTGATCTCGTCCTGCAGGTTTCTCCATGTTTTTCAGGGCACAGTCACTACTTGTTTATGTTCCTCTCAGTGCACTTACACCAAATATGTGCCAAGAAGATTATTTATCATTGAAATCTAAACCAATTCACAGCATCAGTGAACACAGAGCGCTTTCATTCCTGTCAAGTCCTAAAGATTATAAGTTTATGAGCTTAATTTTTTATTAAGTGTAAGAACGATCAGTTATCCTGATAGAGCTCATAACAGAAGCTAGTGTTCAGTCCCCCCGCTATGTGACCAAGGCTTTAAACAGCTTTGGTCTTATCAATGTTTGAAAGTTAGAAGGTCAAAACATTTAAGTCGCCCAACACAAATAAATAAATGAAAAGAGTTCATGGAAGCACTTTTTCAGCTAAATCAGGGCTCAGAAACACTCCCAACTAAAAACCAAGAGGCTTCTTTACCACGTGGAGCAACATTCCTTCAGAGGAGGATTAGGAATTAGCCTCTCAATCCTTCAGCAGGCACCAGAGTACTTAAGTATTTTGTGCATCTTCCTTAAAAGAGGAATCACCTGGAATTATCTCAAATAGTATCTATGACTGGATTTTACTGCATTTCACTGACCATTTCACTTGATTGAATACACTGAGCCTGCAGATAACATAAAAGCTGCTCAGCGTGCTGCCAAGTGCCCCGGGTGAGCAAAACCTTTAGTATCATTTGCTGAAAATTCGACTTCAGCAGGAGCATCCTCCTTTCGCTTTATGTGCTTCTGTGGTGAGATTTGCCTCAATTTCAAGAGGATCACTTTTTCTTCTTGGCAGGAAAAACAATATAAATCTGGAAGACAAGGAGCAATTTGCCTTCTTTTGTACAGACACAGGCTTCTAGTTTTGCACAGCATTCTGTCATTATTGTAATCTATTTAACATGAATCAAATGAGATTAAGAAAGTAGACAGTAGATAAAAACATACCCACATTTATTTTCCACATTTATTTTGTTCTGAAACGTCAAAGATTTATGTAGTGTTTGCACAATCCTGTTTCTCTAAGTTATATTTTAAGGACTGATTGTGAAACAAGAATGCGAGAAGGAGGCTTTGCTTGAAACTGACATCTCTGTGGAGAGCTGCGTCCCTCTTTGACCTTGTGCTGCTCCTCTTCAAAAACCTGACCTCTAAGTGACGTGGTGGCGGAAAAGCTGTGGACGCTCACACCATATGTCCAGTATTATGCAGTCCAATAAAAGAGAACAACCCAAACACACGGTGCTGGTTTAGGATCAGCACAGCGTGACCGGTGAAAATAGACAAACAGACACACGCATACAGTTTTTACTTATGTAAGAAAGTTTCTTATTTCACAGGATTCTCTCCTTATGCTTGCTGTGGATGTTTTTCATACCATCGATAGGCACGCAAATGCCAGCTGGTAGTGAAGCCCCCACATACACTTAATCTATAGCTGCCCACCTGGTTGAGTGGGCTTCTGTAGTTTAGTCACGTAGCCTCTCCCAGACCATATATGGGTGATGTTGTGTAATACTCAGAGACATTGAAAATACTTTTTTTGTTGTTGTATAACTGGGCTTTCAGATTAGTAGCATGATTTTTTGGAATGACCATAAATAGACTCGAGGAGCCGAGATTCAGAGACAGAAAATGCGATCTGCTCTTCCAGGATTGTCACTCTTTTCTTCGAGCATCCATCTCATACAGAGATGTTTTTTTCTTTTCTTGGTCATCAAAGTAATGAATAGCCAAGAACACAGGCTCCTGCTCTATTGTAAAATAAATCAGGCTTGGATATTCAGCGGATGCTAGCTTTAGAATAATGTTATTAAAAAGTATCAATTAGTGGGAAAAAAGCAGTGAGTGACAGCTCACTGGGTGAAAATGCCTTGTTGATGTCAGATTAGAGGGGACTGGCCAGACTCCTTTGAATTGATAGGAAGGCAACATTATTTTTGCAGCCAAGGTGTGCAGAAGAGCATCTCTGAGTGCACAACATTCTGAATCTTGAAACAATACAGCAGCAGGAGACCACACCAGTGAACAGCTAAGAACATCAAACTGAGGATTACACTTTGGGAAAGTTTGGGAAAATGGCCTCATGGTAGGTCAGAATTTTTCTTTTCTCCCTGTTTCCTTTCCTTATGAACGACCTCCTGACAGCCACTCTTCCACTGAAAACCATTTCTGATGAGGCTTCAGTGAACAGTAGATGGATTAATCGAGGCGCCACATGCATCTCTCAGGTCCTGTGTCAGGTCTTTGCTATATTTTTTCCTATTTCTTAAGGGCATGACTTTCAGATATTGTACATCTACTGTAGATTGTTTTTTAGGCCTGCCAATTCTCCTTTTGTCCTCCACTTTGTTCAGTTTCCTAAAAGTTTAAAGACACACTAATGGCTCTTTTGGAATAACCTTGTTGGTGCTAAAAATCAAATTTTATGCCTGTCAGACTGTGTTATCTTCTTCACACATTCAGCTAAAGAACAAATTATATGCTGTTGCAACAGGCTGCTAGTAACAAAGTGCCTTAAGATACAATTTACAAGAAATCACAACCATTTCTTCATAATTTAGGAACAGTTGGGGATGTTTTATAGTGATGTCTAACATATTGTATATCGGACTATAGAGCGAGCATGAAAGAAGCAAAATGAGAAAAACAGAAAGCAAACTGAACAAAACATAGCCATTAGTGTTATCGCACTCACTCAGTAAGCATCACGTCAGTGGCTTCCTCCTTAACTGACTGAAGCCAGAATCATCCATCAGGCCGCAGCGGTGGCTCGGGGAACAATCCTCCACCTGGATA